CACTAGCTCGAGACTTGGCTCTTAATAGCGCCTACCCGCTTGCGTTACTTTGGTTTACAGGGTATAAGAGCAGCAGCCAGCAACAATATGAAACCTTCATTAGCGAACAGCTAGTCGGAACTACTGCAAGGAGGCTGGGATTTAGGTGGATTGGTTAAGGATTGCGGCCAGTCCGGGCAGCAGCCAGCAGCCAGGAGGCAGAACTTAGGCAGCAGGTGGAGCAGGTGGGGCAGGTGGGGCAGGTGGGGCAGGTGGGGCAGGTGGCAGGTGGCGTCGCATTGAAAACGCTTCCGGCCATACAAATTGTACGTGAAACGTGAGAAATTAATTTTCAAGGTGCTCGGCAGTGCACTGGAGGGCAGCTGCTCGAAGCTAGCCAATGGGCATCAAAGTCGCAACCGGTTCGATCTGGCGTTAACCAGGCACACACACACACGCACACACACACACACACACACACACACAGACACAGAGTCACGCACACCTATACGGCTGCTCTTTAATCAAGCAGAAATTGAAATTTTGCAATTTGCCGCCCTCGTAATTGGGCCCGAATTGCGACTGTATTTGGGCGCTATCTAAAATTGCAGCCATCGGGCCTAAGCCCGATTTCGGTTTGAACAAACAATAGCTTGTGAGGCGTCTATATAATTAATCCCATAGAGTGCACAGATACGCGTAATGGGATCTAGTTGACTTCTAACTTTCATAACTTTTGCAAAACTTTATCCATTTTGATGAGTCGCAAATCGATGCTTATCGATAAATATGTGTATAACAGAAAATATCGATAAGAAGTTATAAACGTGTTCTCCAGTTGGTAGAGTATATAGTTTCCCTTACGTTCAGACGGATAAGAGATATCGATATTCTTTTTGATGAGTCGCGAATCGATGTTTATCGATAAATAACAGAACTGTATAACAGAAAATATCGATAAGAAGTTATAAACTTGCCCTGCATTTGTTAGAGTATATAGTTTCCCTTACGTTCATACGAATAAGAGATATCGATATACTTTTTGATGAGTCGCGAATCGATGTATATCGATACAAATTGTAAATAGCAGAAAATATCGCTAGGAAGTTATTAACCTATAAATAAAAGCTAAAAAAATAAAAGCTTATTTTGATTTTCCACTCAAAGAGCTCGCTTAGTTTATTTGCATCAGTTTTTTGTTTGGTTCCCATCTTAATTAAGATCTCGTTCAACTTAAATTAATCAAATTAGTTTCAAATTAGTTCGTTTTTTTTTCTCTATCTATTTATGCATTGGTCAAAGGCAAGAAAAACGCAAGCAAAGCATACCAGAAATGTGTTAAAGGGCGCTGAGGGGCAGCGGGGGTGGGGACAAATCACGAGCGCATATGTGTAAATGCGAATGTGTGTGTGTGTGTGTGCATGCAAAGAAATGTCAAAATTCAATTTAATGCTGCCGTAACGAAAATCTGTCAGCTTGCAGCACAAATAATGTCAAAGCCACACACACACACACACACATACAAATAATACACGTACACACAGCCACAAAGTATTGCACACACACACATACACGCACACTCGCACAAAGGGAAAAAGCTAGCGTCTGTCAGAGGCAATTGTGGCTGATTTGCGCTTTTTCTTGCTTGACTTTGACTGAGAAAGCAGAAGCAGAGGCAGCGACAGCGACGGCGACGGCGACGGCGACAGCGGCAAAGATAAACGGTAAATGCGCTCACTCTCCAACTATTTAACGCAGTGAGTTAAAGAGTGAGAGAGCATGTTGTAGTTGTTGTTGTTGTTACTTTTGAAAGGGTTCGACATTCGACTGCGCGTCGCTTTGACGTTGACATGTCAAATGATTTTCACAAAAGCAGCGCAGCTGCCAGCTAAAGTGAAGCTCTTACAGCAAGCGCGAGACGTTGCGATAAAGCGACAGCTGCAGTCGCTGCAGCTGCATCAGCGGCAGCGGTAGCAGCAGCGGCAGCGGCAGCGGCAGCGGCAGCGACAAAGCGACAGCTGGCATTGAGCATGTTATGGCCGCGGGCAGCGAAAAGCTCTACTGAGCGCCTTTTTGAGCGTAATATGCAGGTACTTTGCGTGCTTTGCAGATCACTATCCCTCACTACCTACCCCCCTCTCTCTCTCTCTCTCACACGCACGCTCTGGGAATATTAACAGTTGAGCTGGCTGGGTGAGCTTATAAAATGTATGGAAATAGGGGTGGAATATACAATAATATCGGTAGGGAGAAAAATAATAATTATAATAACAATATTAGTTAATATTATAGCAATAAATATTAATAATAATAATTATATAAATAATAATGATTAATTATTAATAAATAATATTAGTTATAATAATAACAATAACAACAATAATTATAATACTTATTAGAATCATAATAATATAATACTAATAAAAATCGTTTGACTATTATTACCCAATCCCTCTTCTCTCATTATCCAAATCTCTTAACTCTTAACATTTTTATATATGCGCACAAAGGTATGCTTTAATAATAATAATAATAATAATAATAATAATAATAATTATAATAATAATAATAATAATAATAATAATAATAATAATAATAATAATAATAATAATAATAAAAATAATAAAAATAATAACAATAATAATAATAATAATAATAATAATAATAATAATAATAATAATAATAATAATAATAATAATCATAATCATAATAATAATAATAATAATAATAATAATAATAATAATAATAATAATAATAATAATAATAAAATAATAATAATAATAATAATAATAATAATAATAATAATAATGATGACAATGATAACAATCATAATATAATTATAAATATCCTTATAATAATAATAATGATAATAATAATCATTATTATAATCACAATCATCATCATCATCATCATCATCAATACTAATAAAACTGGTTTTATTATTATTAGCCAATCCCCCTTCTCTAATTATCCAAATCTCTTAATTGTAAAACATTTCTTTTTATGCATGCGCACAAAAGTATGCTATAAAGTCGTGTCCTCATGCATTTCATGCGGACATATTAATATTAAAGCATGCAACAAAAGCAAATTGTTGCGCTTATGCTCCACTGTGCTGAATAAAGCGCTGCTTTTTCACTGTTTTCTGATTTTAAAAAGCGACTTTGTATGTTTTTTTGTTGTTGTTGTATTTTTGTGATTCGCCCATGTGTGTGTGTCACATTTTTAATTCCGGCGCTTACATGCGTGGGCGTGGCAATTATGGGCCGGGCCAGCAGGGAAGCGGTTGGTAGGCCGCAGGGTGAAGGTAGGTGGGGGAAGGGGGGGGGGTTGGTGCGGTAAAGGGAGGTGTCTGCGCTGTTTACTTGGCTGTTACGAGCGGAAATGCGAGTGCTTTGACTTTTGAGAATTAGCTATTGTGATAACATTTACGTGTGCGTGTGTGTGTGTGTGTGTGTGTGTGTGTGTGTGTGCTTCAACGCACTTAATTGGGCAAACGATTGCCTGACTTGCTTACAAATGCGAAAGCGAAAACGTGCGAGAGGCTAAAGAAGCGGCACAAAAGCAAAAGCCAAAAACCAGCGGCACGCACTCGACTCACACACACACACACACACGCACACACGCACACACGCACACACACACAATATATGTGCGTGAGTGAATATTGCATGCGATAAATTATTTTAAAGAGCCTGGCTACCCATCCGCCTCCCCCCTCCACCGCCCCCTCTACCGCCCCCTCTTCCCTACCACGCCCACTTTACGCTCCGCTTTAGCCCTTTGCATCTATTTATTTGTTGCGCGAGAGGCATCAGTTTTAATATTGTTACGAATTTTATTTACGTGCACAACAAAAAAGAAAATGCTTATAAACACGTTCATGACACACAACACCGCCCCGCCACGCCCCGTTCCGCCCACCGCCCCTCGCCCTACCGGGCCCGTCAAACGTTTTCATTAATAATTTTTGCTTTTGTTTTTGGCATTTGTCGGCGGTTTTGGCGACTACTCAAATAAAATTTATTGTTTCTGATATTTCTTTAGTCATTATTATTACGCACATTTATTATTTATTATTTATTTATTAATTTGTTTTACATGCGGATTATGCGGGCCGTGACAAAACACACACACACACACACACACACACACACACACACACACACAGACAATTAACGATTGAACGAACTGCGCACAGTGGGACCAGAGCACAAATATGCGCTGAAAAAACTTTAAGGGGGTAGCTAGGCATCCAAACCAATTAGAAATCTATGTATACAAGAATCTATATAACTTGCTTGGCTTATTGAGCTTTTCTTAATTTTCAAGTTATTCCCAAAAAAATCAAAATCAAATTTTGATCGATTTATCGATAATGAGATTAGATATGGAAACTCGTGCTCAGTATCTTAGAAGAACCTACGAGCCAAGTGAGATTTTCAGGTTGTTCTCAAACAACAAAGTCTCCAAATGGATATTTATCGATACATTATCGATGGATATCGAAACTCGTTTTGGTTTTTTTGAATAAGTGAAATGTTGCTTATCTGTTTATACCATATAACATAAGACTCTAAATGCAAAGATGGCTTCACCTACCTATCGATATTTATCGATATATTGAAAATGGCAGATATCGATCAAAGAAATCGCTGTTAGCCATTATAAATAGAGAAGAAGTTTTTATTTTACTATTAAAATTTTGTTTTTGACGTTAGTTGACAACTAATGCAACGGTATTCAATTTGTTCTTGTCAACTTTAACAGCTAGTCAAGCCATTTGACATGAGCTCTAACACACACCAAAGTCTCAAGCACACAAAGTAGGCAACGTTTCGCACTTCAGTCGATTCATTTCAGTTGCCAGCTTCGGGTTCAAATTGTATTCAGTCCAAGTCCAGTGAGAGAGCTGAACACAACCAAAATCATTTAAAACAAAAAAAAAAAAACTAAAAAAAAGTCATTGTGCTTTATTTATATTTTGTAAAGTCACTTAGGCAAAATTGTAAATTGAACAAGCTGCGCAAATATTTATATAATAATATATATTTATATATATAGATAGATTGATAGATAGATTGTATATTGTTTACCAGCCCAGTTCCACTCAATATGAGCAGTAAGTACGAATGGGGAATGCAACTGGTATAAATGATGGATCGTTTCTTTGTGCAGCAAAAGCTCAGGATACGCAAGGACCTCTCGCTTTCGAACGTGATCCGGCTTGTCCGTTATCGGCCGTGCCCAGCGCCGAATCGGAGCCGACAGCTGATATATTGGACATTGATCGGCCCTGCAAGGATAACGATATCGGCCCCGTGCCGCTCGATAACTATACATTTAGCGAATCGGACAAGCACGACGTTTGCCTGCAGAGTCGCCGCGACTCGAGCACAAATCCGGAGCGTCCATACTCGCTGAACAACATGGACTCGGAGCCAGATCTTAAGGAGCCCCTGGGGCCCTGTGGCGATTACGTTGAACAGTCGCATACGCCGTGCATCAAGCTCGATAACAAGGATAACTTCTATTCGCGCAATCCGATAACCGGCTCCGGTTTGAACGGCGACGGTGTTGGCGGTCTCAAGCCAAAGAAGCTCAAGAATCGAGGTTGGTTTATTGCATTCTATATATATTAAGACGATACGATATTGGCACTGAGTTAGGCGAGGCGTTTCGCATTACGAAAGCGATATATTTAAATGCCGATATATTTTCAAAATCGATATATCCAAATACCGATATACATTGTCCGTCTGTCCGTCGGTCCGTGGGAAACTGTCCTATTATACGTAGAACTGGCTTTTTATATTTTCAGTCTTTTAATATAATCGATAAATATCGATTTTGATAAATGGTTTTTCAAGCGTAACTCGAGCATTTTTGGAGCTAGATGCCTGTGAATATACACATGCATTAGTTTCTATGCCATTCATAGAGCCTCCCAATTTCATAGTATCGATAAAGATCGATTTTGACAGCTTGTTTTTAACATGGCCCAAAGATGATACACTTCTATTAGTAAAATATATACAGATGCAAGATATTTCAGCAAGAGTTGGCCATATATTCTTCGCATATTCGTAGTATCGATAAATATCGATTTTAATGCTTGCAGTTACGATAGATCTGCAGAAGTCGCTATATAGATTTTCGTAAAATATATATACATAGAAAGAGTTTTCGATAAGTATCGATTTTGAGACATGGTTACTTCACTTTACTTTGCTTTACTCGAGAAATATTGGACCTACATGCATCAAGCCTGGTATCCAGGTTCTCGTAAGCTTTATATAGATTAAAAACAAGTTGGGGTTCGCTTAAAATGCCGTCGCCTATCTTGTAAACGGCTCAAACGCAGCGCGCAGCATCTATTTATTTAATTTTCTTTCGCTATTTATTTGACGCTTTATAGAGGGCAATCCAGTTACTGGAGAGGGTTATAAGCCGGGTGCAACTGATTTTATACAGCCGGCGATTAAAGAGGGCAGCCAGCCAATGAATAGCAACAACAATGGTAATCGTGTTCCACCCGGCGGCTATTCGTCGGGTCTTTGGTAATTTGTACAAATTTACACCAGCCCTGCAACAACACGTTCAATAACAAAACGCATGGAAAATATAGATTGCAAACGGGAGTTAAACTCACTCTCCGCGATTTGCATACCTTAAGGTTCAGCAAGCCGCAGCAGAGCAAAAAACACGCAAGGATAAGACAGCTTTAAAGGACGAGCTGTTCACACACAGACAACAAAATGCCGAAAATACCGTAAATACCAAATACTACAATAACAAAGGCACCTGAGGAGATCTCTAGTCGTTAACACTAAGAAAATACTGAACAAGATTGGTCTCTTCTAGACCAGAATATACCATGTTATATTTTTGCCAAGGAAAAACGTCGCTTACACCAAAAATACTAAATACTAAAAATACCAAAAAATACCATAAACACCGAAAAATACCAAAAATATATAAACTGCGTTAACCACGAGCCGCTCACTTAAAAGCCATCTCTAGCCGGATCACTTAAACAATACAAAAAAATACTAGCCTTATATTTTTGCCAGAAAAGACATCAGTGAAGAACTGCGTTAAGGGCAAATTGCTCAATATAAGTATATAAATAAAATACCAAAAGTAGAAAACGAAAATACTAACTTTATATTTTTGACAAAGAAGAACAC